ATAATATATAATAATATATATATATATATTATATNTGTATATATATATATATATATATATATACATGTATATATATATATACATATATTGTAATAGAATATCGTCGCAATGCTGACTCTGCATTCACACACATTCCTCAGACATGATGTCGCTGTATCTACGTTAAGTGTGATAAATGCGGATAAAATAGAAAATACGATTGACGAGGCGTCGACGGCAATGACGGCGACGGCGACGGCGAAAAAGACACGACGAAGACGGCGATGACGATCGCATCCACGACGACAATTCCAAATAATCGATGATGCTGTTGCGAATCACTATCTTCTCGCTGATCTCTCTATTTATTATTCTTCTAGCTGGCATGGATTTATCGTAAAAATGCGATAGGAAGTTTGTACTTATCGATTAGTCTGTATTTATTATATATTTACGAAAATGATTATCCTTATTCTATCATAATCGATCATAATCATCGTTGCTGTTATTGTTATTGTTATTGAGATTGTTGTTGTTGCTGCTACTGTTGTTATCGCTGTTTTCGATGTATTTCGCCTTGTCGTTGGGGTTGCCGTCGTGGTGAACGTCGCCATCGCCATCGGTATCGGCGTAATGATACGCTAATTAAACAATAAGATACGACTATCGCCTACTCAATGTACAATATGTAGTATTTACCTGTTGTTACCACCAAACCGTCATCAAAGATATATAAAATATTGTAATTGTAACACATCCGTGTTGCTCCAATTCTACTCCAATTCCACATCCACTCCATTTTTAACGAATGAAAATACGAATTTATAGTTCGCTCGAAAAAAAAAAAAAAAGAGGTAAGTAATTACGCAATTACTTATCTAACTGAAGATTTTTCGCATTGATAAAATGGGAATAGGATAAAGGAATGGATAATAAATAATAAATCATATATTAAGAGCATTTATTTATTTTTCATATAATTAAATATTCACATTCATTTATACATTTTAAATTAAATATATTCATTAAACCATTTTCTGTCGTATTTCGAAATCCAGTTATTGCAACCAAGCATATTATTTTGAATTATGTATTTCCAAGTCCATGGGTTTTGATTTTCTTCTTCTAATTTTTTCTTTTCCGCTTCCATTTTATCCATAATTTCTTGATTAACTACCATAGCATCAAACGGTAATCTTTTCGCAATATTTTTTAAGACATTTTTAACCTGAATGAAGTTATTTATAAAATATCATATTTACATTAAAATAATTAAAATTAACGAGAAATTAAAACGATGAAAAATATATATATATATATTATACCTCGAAATATTCAATATTTCCTCCAACTTCTACAATAACTTGTTTCGCTCTTACCGGAGTGGCGTAATGATCTATACTTCCTTTACCAGAACCCATTCGTGATCCATGACTCTGTACAATATATAAATTTTAATTTTTTTACAAATTTCAACAAATCTAGTTATTATTTCATATCGACTAATGTAATATATGTATATATATACGAACCTTCTTAGTTATTGGTTGCCAAGGGCTAGGCACTCTCCATATTGCAAACACTTTATTATAATCTACATTTTTTAAAATTGCCATACGGATCATTTCAAAGTGATTAAATTTCATTCTACCACCACCAGTCGCCTAAAAATACATCTTTTTATGTTCGAATGAATCGTATGGTTTGGAATTTTTCTATTCCATGATTTATTCTCTTACTATTATGCCGTACTGTTTATGCAAAAGAGTATTATGATATGATTCCGGACCACGCATTAATCTCAATCTTTTCTGCATTTTGAAAGGTCTCATAGAAGGTGGATATTGAGGTACTTTTAACACAACTCTGAGCCTTTTACGTTCAGGATATTCAACATCTACAAAATATAAATAACGTGATAAATATATCTTTTTCATTAAATTCTTTTTATATTGAATTATAATATTTGGAATACCCATTTTAGGTAATGGTTTAAATGATTTTACTCCAACTGCGGGTGCCGACTTAAATATAGAATATGCTGCAAAAATATATACATTAATAAAAACACAAGTTTTTTTTTTTCTTAGAAAGAAATAACGTTTTTTATAAACTTACGTGACAGCAACAGTTTCGTGATATTTTTATAAAATTGCATTTCTACGACAATTATTAAATTTTATTTTATTATATATATTTTATTGTGAAAATATTTAAATATTTTTTAATTTTCTAACAATATACTTTATAACCTCAAACACCTTTATATTAAATATCGATTTGATATTGAAAGTATAACACTTCTATATTAAAGTTTAATAACTTTAATACAATAACATTTTCTACTTGTTTAATAAATTTTTATTATAATATATTTTCCATCTTTTCACGAATTCTAAACGTAAATATATATGTATATATATATATATATATATATATATATATAAAAC